TTTCTGTATCAAAATTAATATAAACCCATGTCTCTTATTTATCTATCTGTTGAGCCATTGTAAAAATATCAGCTATACTTCCTACTTCCCTTTCATTTCTAGTTATAAGGACAAAATGTGATTTGTCAATAAAATAGGACAACATTTGTGATCCTGCAATAGTATGGAACCAATATGCTCTGAGAGTGTGGTCTAATGGACAGAGTGATGAGCCAGGACTTAGGAAAGCGAGGTTTGAATCCCTGGAAATTCACTGTAAGATTACCATGTTAAAGCTACTTTTTAAACATTTCAGTGACTATAAACTCCCTTTTACGGTCAATATGAATTGACACAGGTAACAACAAGCATGTTTTCGTATCTCATTCTATACTCCATATACCTATATTTCCACTTTTTCCTTGCATGCCAATCTCCTACACCACAAAGGCAATACCAACTAGATTTTTTTCTCAATAGACTACATCTTATATGAAATGAAAAAGAAGTTACATACAACAATAGTCTGAACAGTTGTTTGTTTCTGAACTTTTTACCAAAATTATAAGCATTTGTTATAGTCACAAGTGATACAAAGAATGATATTTTTGCATTTCATTCAGTATATAGAATTTCATACATTTAGGATGCAATTCTGTGTCAACCCAGAAGTCCCATTGATCTCAGTGTCATTTAGTCTGAGTTACATTTTAGTCCCAGGATTACTGCCTACATATCTGACTTAAGGCTGAAAAAGCATGCTTTATATCTTAAGAAAGAGAGGCAAGGTGCCGGCGTTTAAGAACAATCATGATCTTTTCTGATTCATCCTTGAAAATGTGGAAAATATTCAGTTGTTTCTATTTTAATTAAAAAGTTTCAAGGACTCAAACCTTCCTGCAGTTAAATAAACTCTGTCTCCCAACCCTATCTTTTAAGCAAGATCGACAAGATCTACTTTTTTTCCAAAAAGGTTGCAAGCATTTTGCTTTGTGGTATTGTTTAAATTGTTGGCAATAAGAAGTTGCTAGGGGCTTTGGAATGCTGCCAATCTTCTGTTTCCACTACCTTTCACAACTTGTATTGGCAACAACAACTAAAATGGTTTCTAGAAATGTATAGTTTTAATTATAAATTGCTTCAAAACATAAATGGAATTTAATTGGTTACAAAGCTATATTCTAACATAATCAGGAGATTGTTTCATACAATTAATTTATTAAAGCATAATTTAGCAGTTCTGGTTAAGTTGCACATTTTGAATCCTGCAGGCAAATAACAAACTGATTAGTAAATGTAATAAAGTAATTTATTCTACTGACAAGAGCACAATATCCTACTTGATCAATTGCCATTTTAAGAACATCAAAACTTCATGTGATTACACTATCTATACAGTATCCAGAACCTGAACTGTCATGCAGCACCACTGTTGCCGTGTGAATGATATAACAGGATGTTTAAGTTAGCTTTTTGTAAAACTATGAAGTCTAAAAATATAATGTAAAAGGAAACAATTATTTTGAAAAAAAAAGAATTTATTTTATTTACAAAAAATGCTGTCTTATTCTACCACTCAGAATAGCTTTGCGTGTTCTCTTTTAGGCATCTGTCCCTCCAATGGGTGTTTGTCATGAAATAAGCAAAGCTGTGGTTGCTTATTATTGGAACAAAACTCAAGGTAGGTGGTAGGCTTAACACAAGTAACATACACCCCAAAATATAACACAAGGCATACTTCTAAAATAAAATAGACAGCTAAAAGCCTTTAGAGCCATCATCAGTTACTAACACCTTTATGGCTTTTGAAAGTCATCTAGGCTTAGCAGGCAGCTCTACAGTGGGGTCTTGACTTGAGAACTTAATCTGTATTGGAAGGCGGTTCTCAAGTCAAAAAGTTCTCAGGTCAAATCTGCATTTCCCATAGGAATGCATTGAAAACCATTTGATCCGTATCTGCTCTTTTCCGTCCATAGAAACTAATGGGAAGCTGCTATTCTGCCTTCGACCACTAGAGGGGGGGTCTTTTGTTTCTTTTTTTCTTAGGTCAAGAAAGGTTCAGGGAAGGCAGGGAAAATACAGTCCAGGCAGGACAGTACCAGGCAGTCTGAAGACTGTCTCCCAATCCACTCTCTAAACGCTGGGAGGAGTGAGGAAGCAGACAGGCACCCTTTTCACTGGCCAACAGTTAACTGAAAGTTCAAATTTTGCACTTTCCCTGCCTCCCACGTGGTTTTTTTCAGTTCTTAACTCAAATCTAAGTATGTAAGTCAAGTCAATATTTTCCTCTAAGAGTGGTTCTTAAGTCAAAATGTTCTTAACTCGAGCCGTTCTTAAGTCAAGACCCCACTGTACAAGGTTAATTCTTCTCTAAATGGCTTTGATACAGTATTTGTCTTTAATGGTCTGTTCATTTTTACTCGGTCCCATGGGATGTACCCAGATGAGATCAGGGCTGAAGCTTGGATTGTCTGTTGGGATAATAACAATCTTACATGCAGTGACATAGGGTATTAGTGCAGTCTAGGCTGATTCTGCTTTGTCCCTTATTTGATTGGTGGAGGGTTTTTTTCCTTGCTTGAGGCAAGCCTTCGCCCCCTCTTCCTATTTATTTGCTCATTTCCTTTGTTTTTTAGTTTTTCTTTTTCTTGACCTCTGAGCATATAGAAGACAGGAAGGATGTCTCTTCGATGTGGTGGAGACTCCATTTTTCCTAATTTTCTTCCATTAAAAACTATAGACAGCAACTGTAAACAAATCTGTTTTCTGCTTTAAAATGCTTTCAGAGTGATTTTTTGCATATAAAGTGCTGGTCACTGTGAAAAGGGGTGGGCTACTTAGGTTCATGCTTTCTCTGTCCATTTTTTGTTTGTATCAGGTACTCTCCTAACTTTAAAGGCATTAGCCAAATTCTCCAATAATCTTCTTGTATTTTGGGAAGATTAAAAAACATCATGAACATCAACATCATAAAATAAGCAATAGGTCTATTTATTTTCTCCCATGTTCAAGTGTCCACCTTGTTTCTTCACATGAGGGGATAGGAAAAGCTAAGGACCATACACACTCAGTAGTAGCAAGGGAAGGAGTCTTTAAACCCAAGGACAACTCATGATCAATCTGGGGTATATTCTCATTTCCTGGATACAATAGACAAGAACTAACAGTAGTGACACAGAGAGATATTATTAAAGTCTCCATGGTGTGTGGAAATTAAAATTTTATGCATAGGAAGTATACAAAGGAGGATTTAGAAACATGATAATAGACTATATCAATAATAAATTGTTAGGAAATACTAGTAATGCAGAAGCAAACAAAGTACAGGGAATATAGCTGATATCACTGAACAGCAACAAGAACGACATGCATATCAATTGTGTTTTTAATTATGTAAATTTTAATGCTGTGAGCCACTTTGGGTCCCTTGTTGAGAGAAATGTGGCATACAAATAAAACTAATAATAATAAAATTAATCATCATCATCAATGACATTAAAATGATTCAGAACTTGTAAAGACTAACTAATAAAAAGATGGTAACAAATGTATCAATTCTTACTTTACCAGTCCTATCACTATACTGAAGTTCAAAACTTTGTTTCAATAGTTTAACTCATTACAACCAAAATCCTGTTGCACAACTGTGCAGTCGTAAAGGCTAATAATGTCATCAACCATAGATCCTGATATTTAATTTATAAGTTCCCATCCCTCCACTGGTTCTGAGGATCTCTAAGGGTTGGAGCCTCAGGATGGCAGGAGTCTTTAAGACCAGAGAATCGCCACTGGCAATCCCACCATGAAGATCACAACCAACAGTGGCAATATTTGCAGCTATTCAAATATTGAAAACCATGGAGCCTCAGGATGGCAGGAGTCTTTAAGACCCACAACCAACAGTGGCAATATTTGCAGATATTCAAATATTGAAAACCACCCCCCACCCCAGAGGCTCCAAAAGGCTTGCTCAGGCCAAAAGGGATTCCTAGGAAATTTCAGAACCTGGGCTGGGGCTGGGGAGGGAAATTTTAAATTAGAGATTAATGTCCATGGCTTTACAATTGCTCAGCTCTGACAGCAGGATTCCAGCCATTGTTAGTTAGTTAGTTAGTTAGTTAGTTAGTTAGTTAGTTAGTTAGTTAGTTAGTTAGTTAGTTAGTTAGTTAGTTAGTAAAGCATTTAATAATATTTTTATAGCTAACACACAGATTATACAGTCTACACTGGCTGTTGTTCCAAATTTACTCTTAGACTTCATCAAAATTATCTGGATTTTCAAATACAGCATCCAAAAGCTGTATCTTAGGAATTATAAAGGTCTCTTTAGGCCTGGTGGTTTTGAGGGTGTGTGTGTTTTACAACAAATTCCTGATGTTTCGCCATAATTCTACTTTGACCATTTAGTATGGTGGACTGCCTTGGATTTTCAGAACCAGTTGCTTTGTTCTTCAGAGTTTAACCAGAGTATTTAGGAATGCAGTGGTTAATTCCTCGCTTACCGAGGGCGCGAAAATGGTGGCGCTATGGCAGAACATCGCTTAACTGTGAGTTTTAAAGCCATAGGAACGCATTGAACGAAGTTCAATGCGTTTCTATGGCTTTTTTATTCCCGTTTAGCGATGTTTTCGCATAGCGAAGGTTAATCCGGAACGGATTAACCTCGCTATGCGAGGCACCACTGTATTTAGGAATGCAGTGGTTAATGACAATGTAATTCTTTGCTTAAAAATATTGACATAGCTAGTAATTATTTATAATATACTGTACATCTTACCCAAAGGTTTGGGGCAGGTATCAGAGGTAAACCATCACTACAGCAAGGAGTAAAATCTTACCAATTATATACAACGTTCCCACTGATGTGTCCCAATGCACACTGGCATTTCTATTTTATGTTTAGTACACACTTTTACTAATTATCTTTTCATGCAATCACATCTTGAATTAGTTCCAAGAAACCTATATCATAACATTTATTACCACACAATAGTAGCATACATGTGATTTTCAGAACTTACCCCATGTTCTTTTGCAGCCATAACTACTTTAAAAAGAATATCTTCTTCAACAAATGGCCTCACAGCATCATGGACTATCACTACTTCTGGTTTCTTAAGTAGGGGACTGACACAGTCGCCATTTACAAATATTTCCAGTCCATTGAAGATAGATCTATGACGAGTCATTCCACCTTGAACTACTACTGTCCGATTGTGGCCATATTTTTTTAAGATAGACCTCATTATTTCAATATTCTCTGGAGACACCACCACGACAATATCAGAGATCCAGGCAATTCTATAATGCATGAAGGAAGATAATTTAAGGTACATTCTTAAATATTCTAGGAACTCTGTTAATCTTTTAGGTTTATTCTAACTGTAAATAAAAACAAGTTAAGTTGTAAAAGTATCTTTCATGAGCTCTACAATTATACTTCCCGAAGGGGAAGTTGAGACAGGCATTCATACACTTATACAGCAATACAGTAAAATAAACTATTGTGGGCAAAGATTATATTAAGTGACTGAAATTAATTATTTGTTACTTTTTTTGTTAACCAACCAATGTTACTACTGGAATTTATTCCTAAATGGAAGCTATTTAGCTGCAGGTTCAAAATATTTCTCAGATATGGATCACAACCTGGGAGCATAAAATACTGAGTTAGATCCCAATGTAATCATACTTAAAGAAAATGTGTTGAAATCATCGGAACTTAAGTTACTTATAACCAAATTGAGGGCGAATACCATAGATTTAAATTAAGTTTGCATGACTTATTGCCAAGTTTGGATCCAAACTAGGGTCCTATTTTGATCTGGGATCCAGTGCTAGCTTAGGGAAATTCCCAATAGACATTCGCACAGTACCGTCTTAGAGAGAATTGCACAGTGCTGTCTCATGGAAATTTGCACTGGATCCAGTGTTGTCTTACAGAAATGTACATATGCGAAAGAAGAAAATGAAAGAACAGGATAAGGAAAGATGCAAAACAAGAAGAAACTGCATTAGCACTTATTCTGTATCTCCCAGAAGAGAACAATAACTGTTGAATATCACACTGCTCTAGAGAGGTTATAGCTACAGAAATCCCTGGAGTTGACAACTTTTGCAATGGAGCTGAATAAAGTTGTGGTAGTGTTTGAAAACATCATATTAAAATTCCCTGAATAGTTTTAAAATATACTTTTATTTTATCTCTCCCGTTCTAAGAAATACATTGCTAATTCCTCAAATCAGTAAGGACTGTTCAGGATTTGCATAAGATATGTGAAACTTCATTCTATTGAAATGCAAACAGAGATCTTGCTACAAGGGGGAAAATTACAAAGTATACCATTTTGCTTGAAACATTGTACGATTATACATGTTTTCAGATGACAAGACTTCTTAATTGAAGACAAGTGTTCCATGTTTTCTATTAAGGCATAACTTGGAAAAAGAGGTCAAAAGACAGAACTTCCCACTCTTTTACAAACAGTATTTTATAATTCCTTTCTTGCTCCATATTACAGAGGTTCTCTGCAACCATGGGTGGTCTGTCAGTTCCATTCAGGTGGTCTGTAGAAAGGACAGCCACCATTTTCCTTCTGTATTTGAAAGAATGACTGCTGAATCTGACCTGAGGCTAAACTTGACAAACATTAGACCCAACCTCACACAACTTTACTAACAAAAACAGGCATATTCACTGCATTATAAAGACTGATATTAGGAACTGTGTGCTTTGATTTGTAAATTTTGAAAGAAAAGTTTAAGAGATCTGCTGAGTTCATTCAAGTTATCAAAGCATCCAAAGGACAAAGATAATTTGAGAAGCACTGCTATAGTACATTTCCCTCTTCAGTCTTTAACTAATGAGAACGAAGTCCAAACACTATAGAAATTCAAAAATCAAGTCAATTTAATAGATATATTCATTGTAGACAGAAAAAGGAGTGACTGATCAATAACAGATGGGAACAAATTTTCCATTTTGCTATGCATACCTCCTGAAAAACTGATCCAAAATATATGACAAAGGTTATCGCAGGTCAGGATTTCTTTCTTTAAAGAAAAGAAGATGCTTGAACATGATGGAACTTCTCACTTTGAAATCAACTGTGTAAAAACATTTTCTAGATGTCTCTTATGGCGATTCCAGCTCTCAAAAAAGGATCTATATCGTATGCTTTGGAAATGGGAATATTTGATCTTCCATGATTAGAACACTTTTTATATTGTTTGGAAATAGTTTTGGCTATTCAGTAAGACATGATCCAACAAAGATTGAAAAAGAATAACAAGAAGACAGAAATGGGGAGGTTCCATATGTTTTCTGAGACAGATAATAGCTCCTGATGAGACCCAGAGGCTGAGGCAGAAAGAAGCTAATTAAATCATTAGCATGACACATTATAAAATTATGCCAAGACACAATAATCCTCTGTCATCTATAAAGAATAAAGGCAACCACCCAGGATAGGGTCAAAGAAAACTTATTGGAAAGGAAAAATCTGTTTGAAAGTAGGGTAAAAATGTTTTACGGTAGTACAAATTCATGACCGGGGAACAAAAGAAAAAGTGACTATAGGCAGAGGAGTTAGTGCACAGACTGAAGCAATATTGTAAAGATAATGGATCACTCACTGCAAAACACTGAGCATGAAAATATGGATCTAAGGTGAGGATCCTCGTGGAGTCACATGGCTTTTGTAGATTCATAGGGCTTTTGTAGATTCATAGGAAATCATATAGCCATCATGAAACCATCAGTCCTATCAGCAGCTACAGACTGGACCATAATAATAACAACAGAACTTTTGCCACAGGTTGCAGTGATAATATAAAGATCCATGGCACAGATCCTCATGTACAGTATATGCATCACTGTTTTGTAGAATTCTCTGAAACCACCATAAAAATACAGTATAGATCCTATCTAAGTGGAAAAACTAAGGATCCCTCTTTCTAGGAGACTACCATAAAAGCATAGTATTGTATAGATCTAAGCCTTAGATCTATACAAAAGGATCCCTCTTTCTAGGAGACTACCATAAAAGCATAGCATTGTATAGATCTAAGGCATGGAGTCTTGTGGATCCAGGAACACTCTACATGGAATTCATGCTAAGCCACTGTCATCCTATCTGAAAAATAAAAATCATGTATCCCTCACTACATGGTGCAGTGATAGCACCAAAACATGGACTGCAGTCATGATCCTCTTGCATGCTAACTTTCTAGGAGACTACCATAAAAGCATAGCATTGTATAGATCTAAGGCATGGAGTCTTGTGGATCCAGGAACACTCTACATGGAATTCATGCTAAGCCACTGTCATCCTATCTGAAAAATAAAAATCATGTATCCCTCACTACATGGTGCAGTGATAGCACCAAAACATGGACTGCAGTCATGATCCTCTTGCATGCTAAATGCTGATACGCAAGAATATGATTCTGAGGCACAGTTCCTTATGGCCATACATTTTCTTGAGAGCCTCATGAAATCATTGCCAAATCTCTGTCAACAGACATCTTAAAAATTGTGCATGATGCAAAAACATGGAGCTGTTTTCATATGGCATTCAAGCTAAACCACAGGCAAATTAAGTATCCCATACCTTACCACAGACTGAACCACAAAATCAAAGATCCCTTAGGGCAATGGCAACAAACCTTTTTGGGCCCAAATGCCCAATCTGGGATGGGGGTGGGTGGGAGGTGAACCAGCCAGCAGCGGTGGCGGAATCGGAAGTGGCAGTGGAAGGGGGAATCCTGGGAATGGAGGTGCCTCGAGACCCCACTCCAAATCCCCCACCAGCGCTAGCTGATCTGGATCCTGGCCCGCCGCCTGTTGAAGCGCCAGCACCGCAGCTACAGCCACCTCCTGAGGTTTGGCTGTGGGTGAGGAGTAGCAATCTGGCAACTTATGGCTTGCGTGCCCACAGAAAGGGCTCTGTGTGCCAGCTGTGGCACGCGTGCCATAGGTTCGCCATCGCTGCTTTAGGGCATGGTGCTATCCTAGTGAAAACATGAAACCAAGGCATGTAACCTATAGTTCTACATGAATTTTCACATGACATTTATACTAAATCGTAGTCAAATCTAAGATCCCATTTGGGCCTATGGACTGCTGTACCAAGGAAATGCCATTCTGTAAAAGTTTTGTGAGTTTTTTGTATTAGTCTGTGGGAATTGGTAGGATATATGATTCAGCTGAGTTGTATGAAGTTATCCTATAAAAATCACATGAATTCATGAGGATCTATGCTTCAGACTTTTTTTGTTTCATGGCATCACTGTTTAAGTGAGAGATTTATAACTTGTGAGTTTTATGTTTCAGCCTGTGCACAGCTTTGCTATCTATTATGTAACTAGGATTTAATGTAGATGCCATGTGAAATCCCTAGGTATGCCAAAGAATCCATGCCTTGGATTTATGCTATGCCAATGGTGAGCAGCAAGGTATCCATTCTTTTCATGGCTCATCCAGGGGCACAGAGGGGATCTATGATCTGACTATGGTTTGGAAACGCCTCAATGTAAAACTCAGATTGATCCATGATGTTCTGTGCCTTGGATTCATCTTTTTCCACCATGGTGACATCATACAGTAAGTGATCCATAATTTTTCTGGTTCTGATTGTAAGCACAGATGAGACATATACAATAATGATGATGATAGTCTTAGAACTGCAAAGCTGGAAGGGACCCTATGGATCATGGAGTCCAGCCCCTGTCAAGGAGGCACAATGATGAAATCAAACTCCCAACTTCACAGCCAGCTATCTACACCACTGAGCTATCCAGCAGTTCCTAGATAATGGTTGGGGGAGGATCCAATTAAGATAATGTAGACTTTGGAGAATGTGCCCTTTAGATCTCACCAGATCTGCACCTCAGATCTAAAGCAATAGTATACTCTGAAAGGGTAACTTTCATGATCCAAACTGTGGTTACAGACAGGATGTGGGATTGAGGGGATCCCATATAAAATAATGTGGATCAATGACAATCTGTGCAATAGACCATTTTTATTTTTACTTTTTTTGTGCCATGACAGTATCACACAGCAAAGGATCCACATTGTTGATTACTCAGCCTGTGGATGCAGATACTGTAGTATATTAGGTGGATGCATGAAGATCTGCATTGGGGATCTACTTTTTTTGTGACATGACAGGAGAGCATTCATGATTTGTATGATTCATTCCAGCATATGGTCTATGATTTGCTACCCATTTTGGAGGATCGCGTGCAAAAAAACCCCACAAGGACTTCTTTTGATTACATTTAAGTCTTGCTTTTACCCAGTCTCGGAATTAGCAGCTGACGAACGGACTTCACATATTCCCCAGTAAATGCGTTGTATAAACGTTGAGACAGGGGCCGGTTTCCTTTAAAAGAAATTCCTACCGTGCTCCCTCCTTTTTAATCTCCCCCCCAATTCCCGTTTACAACGGATTGTTCTCATTCTTTCGCCCACGAATCAGAGGAAACCACGAGCCCTCAAATTTCCCTCCCCCTAAACAGAATACGCATGCGCGCATGGAGGGGGCAATCCACTATATCTTGCGAAGGGCCCGCCCTGCTCGCGCGAAAGTTCTTTTCGGGGGGGGGGTCTTTACCTTTCCATCGCTCCCACCGTATAGCTAATTAGAGGCCTTCCCAGGAGGGCGCAGAACTGCTTCGGCGTCCCGCCACCCATGCGCTCTCCGCTGCCTCCGGCGGGTAGCACCGCCGCCACGGACACCGGTGGAACTGGCGGCCGGGGACCGGCTGCTTCGC